GACATTGAGCTGTTGACCACTACCCTCTGGATGCGACCATCCAACCAATTCCTCACCCAGCGGACAGTCCACCCATCAAATCCATGCCTCTCCAGTTTAGAGAGAAGGAATTTGTGGGGGACCGTGTCAAAGGCCTTACAGAGGTCCAGATAGATGACATCTGTATATGATGTCCTTATATGAGAGAATATATACTATGGTTTAACATTTACACAGTTGCACGACTGCAAATTCTGCCCTGCCAGCAAAATTTGAATGAGGTGGGAGGGGGTTTGCATCCTGTTCATTTTATTGTTTCTTAAAAAGCTATAAAGGAAAAGAAACACTTCGCAGGCAAGAGAGAAACAGCTGAATCCTTTAGCAATATGGCTTCCTGGAAACACTGGCTGGCCGTTGTCTCTCTGGTGTGCAGCGGCCTGGGAAGTGACCCCGTCCCGTCCCATCCCATCCTGCTTGTCCCCCAGCAGGTGCTGCTGGAGGCAGAGGGGACAGCAGAGAGTGGAGCTGCAGGTCACTAACACTGGTCACCACCTTCATGTGCCCCGCTTTTCCCTGGGTACTGCAGCCGGCTCTGCCGCTGCTTTCCCTGAGGGGACACCTCCCCCCCCCCGTCAACTTTCCCTAAAAAAGGGAAAGCCTGATGGCTGTTTCCTCTGCTTTCCCTGCAAACACCATCTCCGGCCAGATTCCTGTTGAAGAGCACAGCATCCGGCTGTATGTGTCAGGAGGGCCTCTCGTACGAGGGGACTTGCGGCCCCTTTCTATAGGTCCCTCTACTTGCCAGTGTGTTGCTTCCCTCCATCCCAACACCCCCTTGCCCCTCCTGGTCCCTGAGGGATGCTGAAGCTGTATTTCTCTGTGTGTGGTCAGGATGGGACAGCTGACATATACTTTCACAACATAAGGTGCGGGACACATCATTTTCAGGAGGGGACTTTAAAGGCGTCAGAGCTGACCTCTGCATTTCCATTTTGACCACTGAAGACACCTGCTTTCTACCTGCTGAGGTACAAAGTGCAAAGATTTCACACGGAGAGAAACCCACACAAATGAAGCAGGCTGCGGGGTTGAATTTGATAGTAAAGGACCAAGGCAGTAATTTTTAATATGCATACAGGTAAAAAAAATACTTACAAGCATTTCATCATTTTCAAATACTTCTCTTGCTTCTTCATGTGTACACCTCTCTTCAAGGCATTCCCTTTCCAAGCTGCCTTGGAAGACCTCCTCCAAAAGTAGGGAATTGGCACGCCTCTGTCTCTTGATAACTTTGTTTGCATCCTCAGCTGATATAAACACTGAAATGTACGACAAAATACTAACGTCAATACTTAGATTCATTTCCTTATATATTTTCACCATTTTTTTCCATTTTTTTTAAAGATCTTATTAAGCAGCCAATTTTAATCATGAAGAGAAATCTTTTGGCTGATTCAGGGTTTCAGCCACATTAAACTTCCATACTGAAGGAGCCCTACTTTCTTAGCCCAAACTCAGCTGGGGAGTCATGACCATTTTCTTTTAGGGAGAGCCTGACCTGCTCCCAAGCAGAGGGAATTTGAAGCTCTTCCTGACGCATTTTTTTTCCTGCACCAGACACACAGAGCAGTGTTGCTGTGGCATGGCCAGGGAAAGGAGAAAAGTTTTATCATAAAGGCAGAGGCTATTTTGTAAGACTGCATGGGGCTTTCAGTCTCATCAGTAGAAGTGAAGATCATTTGTATTAATTTATGACGATGGATCCAAACTGATGCCCTTCAGTCTTAGTTCACGGGGATTTTTTTGCTGAGAAGCAAAACCGTGACGGTGGCTGAGTTCTCAATCAAATCTCTCTTAAGGAGAATAAATAAAAGCTACCCCTCAGCAATGCTCAAAGTTACGAGGGCTGTATCATGTACGATCCTTTATGTGGAAGACACCATGATCTTTTTGATTTGGGTAAAGAGGAGGAGAGATCAAAGACATGAGAGTTATCAGATCTTAAAACTCCTCTTTGTAATGATGCCTGCAACAAAAATTGCCTGCCAGGCAGACGGCTGGTGCCGTGCTGGAGCCTGTTGCCTGTGACATTTAGCAGTATGTGGCTGTGTGTGTCAGCATGCGTTTGTCAGTTCTCCCGTGCTTGGAAGGTAAACCTGTTGGGGCAGGGACTGGGGTTTTTTTTTGTATTTTATAGAGTGTTTGGGGGCCCAACACTGCTGGGCACAAAGGTTGAAATAATCAATTATATTAGAATTGGAACAAGTGACAGCAATAACAAAATTATTCTGAAACTGCATACAAATGCTTCTGCTTTTGAACGATATCCAATAAGCAACAGGCTTGCATGTGATATTAAAAAAGAAAAAAGAAAAAGCTTCATGACTGAGTTTTACATTTTAAGGTGTTATCTGATACCCCAGTGCACATTTCTGCTGTGCAGTGGTTCCGATGCATCTAGCATAACTGGCACTGCACTGCTGCTGCTGCCAGGGGCGTTTTGACCTTCTTAAGCAGTCATCATCTTTTTCTTCCTTGCCCAGCTCCTCTTTAATATTGACAAAGCATGGGGGATTAATACAGAAACATAAATTCCTTCAAGCTATAATAAGCATGCATCTCAGCCTCTTTCATAAGCCTTATTTTTATTTCAGCAGCAACTAGACATATAAACCAAAATTCTCTTTAATATCTGGGGCACTCTTTTAAGAATGATAAGAAAAGACAAAATATCACCCTGGTGTAAATGATGGTAATTCAAAATTACATTGCTTTAGTAACCTACTGCAGTTTTCACTTAGCTATATGAAAGAAAAAAAACCACCAGAAGAAATGTAAGGAAAATAATGGACGGTTTTCAGTTGTGTCACTCTGTGCTACAAAGTAAACGTGATACAAGGTACAAAACTACTGGTGTGTTTAGAAGAGCAGTAGCACAAATCAGAATTAAAGCTGCAACAAAACAAAGGCCATACCTGTCTGCTCTGTCTGAAGGAAAAGGGCAGAGAGAAGAAACAATATTGTCCAAGAGCACCTTGCCATTGTTACCCTCTGAGCGTTGCCGGCCTGCAGTCCTGCAGCTCTTGGGGGAAATGGCTACATGAGAAAGATGTAAGTTTAAAGTCCAGCTGCTCATGAGAAAACAAAACCTCTAAAAGGGCAAAGCCTGGCCTCAATGTCAACACATGAAAAACCTCAAAAAAAGCGGCTTAGCAGTGCACTGGCTGAAGGTGGAGCCGGTTTGCCAGCTCTGCTTAGAGCTGCTCCAAGATTTGGGTAGTCCTCCCACCCCCCCAGCCTTCACTTACTGTAACACAAAACGGGGAGAGATGAACAATATGAACATTTCTTTGTACCATATCAAAGCACAAGCTGGATGATGACTACAGGGATCAATGTTATGGAGTGGCTCTTTTATACACTGTCCCCACAAAACATTTGCCAAGGCTTAGCTGCACTGGTCAAATCCCATCAGCTTTTGAGGCAACCAAGCGTGGGATTTCCCCTGTAGGGATGTATCTGAACGGATATGGCATTTTTTATTTTTGACTGTTAGGTTTGTACTGCCCAGCCATGAAGGAGGGCATGGGAAACTCTTCCTGACTTCAGGATCCCGGGCACAGACACCCAGATCCGCACAGACACACAGAGTCTGTGAGAGGAGGTGTAAGTACAGAGCAGACGGGAGTACCTACCCGTGCCGTGCACCCAGCAGCCGGGGCGGCCCTCCTGCCTGCCCCAGGAGGAGAGGAAGGATAAACCCACTGGCGTGCAATGGCAATGGTGCTGCAGGGAGTTTTTTGGCTCCCAGCACAGGCAGGCTCCTGGGAAGAGCAGGAAACCATTTCTACAGCTAAAGCAACAACCGGTGAGAGGAAAAGTGTTTTTTTAATCTGAGTTAGAAACACAGAGACCATTCTGTGTTTTCATGCCATAAATTCCCAGCTATTATTTGAGTATGCAGTTCTTTTAACAAAATATAATTGATCCGAACATTCATGGGTAAATCCCCCAATAAAACTTCACTTTACATCAACTGCAGTCTTTAAAACCAGCTTCAGTGAGTACCAAGGCAGGTGAGCAGGGCTGAAGCAGACCACATGCCTCACCAAAGCCAGTCCCTGCCAACCCGGGGCTGATGTTGCAGCTCACATCATGAACCCTAGTGCCTTCAGCAAATAATTAACCTCCGCATTACAACTGCATTGTGGGAGGTTTTTCCTGCACAATCTCCCCAGAGATGTTGTTCCAGAAGTTCACTTGGAGTTAAAATCCTTCTAATATCAAGCCTGATTGTATTCCCAGCCAGTTCATAACTTTACGTATTTATTTTTTCCCTCCTTGATATTTCTGCAGAACTAATTAATATACCCACCCATCCACTTTGGTTAACTGTGTGTCGACCTTTCTTTAGTAAATGAGCTCTCTGTGCTCTCCTCAGTCCCCTGAGGCCACCAAGTCCCATCGTACCTGTCCCAGCCGGGGGACTCTTGGTCGGGAAAGGGGGGGGCTGTTGGCAGTGGTCACATCTGGTGGGTGCTGGGGGGGCTCAGCCAGCACCTCGTGCGCCCAGGAGCCGCTGCAGAGGCTCACCTCACCCTCCTCACCTTTCACGGCGGCCGCCCGTCCCCCTCGGGCCGCCCGCCCCCCGGGAACCCCCTGCCAGTGAGGCTGCTGCTGTAGCCCCCGCATGGCCCCTGCCTACTTGCCTTTACTTTTCCATGATAACGAATATCACCCTGCGCATACGCGGTACGGCAAGACTGACTCCCTTCAGCATGAAAAAATATGTCACCACTTGGTGTCAGCACAGGACTTTGCAGAATCCAGCACAAAAATGCAGATCTGCTTTTTTTTTTTTTTTTTAACAAGCTGTTTACATTTTGCAAACCTATGTCAATTAAGGAACTCTTGTAAGTATAAGGTAATTATTCAAACTAGGTTAATAATAATAACACAGAGCTTCAGAAGCTGTATTCTCACCAGACCTTAGTTTACACGGTCATTTTTTCTTACTGTGTTTGTTTTAAACAAACCATTCCTTGACTGAGCAGCTGTGTCCTTGGGGACGGGCCACGGTGTACTCAGTACGTTATGGCACTGTGTCGTGGTTTAACCTCAGTCGGCAACTGAGCACCACACAGTCGCTTGCTCACTCCCCCCCTCCCTGGTGGGATGGGGGAGAGAACTGGAAGAGTAAAAATGAGAAAACTTGTGGGTTGAGATAAAAACAGTTTAATAATGGAAATAAAAGATGATGATGATGATGATAATAAT